TATCTGACAAAAGTGAGTACACCCCTCATATTTTTGTAAACATTTGATTATATATTTTCATGTGATAACTCTTAGGGTTGTCCTCACTGTTGTTGCCAGCGTGTGTGATGTGTTATTTTGAGGGGACAGCAAATTTACACCGTTACAAACAAGCTGTACACTCACAACTTTACGTTGTAGCAAAGTGCCATTTCTTCAATATTCTCACATGAAAAGATATGATCAAATATTTACAAAAGTGTGAGAGGTGTGGGGTTTGTGAGATAATGTAATGTGTTGTTGTAAGGACAACATTGGAGACCTGCATTTTGCTTACAACCTTTTTTTTTAAAAATTTAACATTACATTGTTGGACTCTTTTTAAAGAAAGGATATGAATAAATGCTGCTGACATCATCTTTGTTATCCCACTATTCCTCTGCTTGACCTGCATGCCCACCTAGATACCTGCCTGTCTGCTTGTAAGCCTGAACATATTGACTTACCTTTTGATCCTGCAGTGCTCTGCACATGTTGTTTGATATTCCATAAAACATTTTTAAGTCCTGATTGCGCAAGAATTAGTATTTTTTTCTGACTTGGTGCCCCTGATCTTTTGGAGTGCAATTCTCTTGTACGCCACTGTACAATATAAACAATACAAACCCATTAAGATTGAACGTAAACCAAGGAGTTCAAATATGTAGAACGCTAATAATGAAATGTAATCTCATTTAGTGTTTCGTTTATTTATATCTACAGCTTCTCTTCCACCTTCGTCGTCAGCTCCGATGGCAACTTCCAGTTCAGACTCTGTCTTCAGACTGATGTGTCATCTGGTGGTGGGAATTCCTTACATGCTGTCTACAGTCTTACTGGGACTCATATACAGAGACAGGAAGAGGGGTAAGACCACTATTGCTTGTGTCTAATGTTGGCAAATCAGAACATATAATTACAATAACAACAGAACTGTGCTGTTAGCTCTCTGTGCTTGGTTCCTGAACGACTCTTCTACCTACTTTTGCTTACTTTCTATAACCATTATTCATTTACATTTATTCATTTAGCTGATGCTTTCATCCAAAGCGACTTACAGTTGCTATACATATCAGAGGCCACACGCCTCTGGAGCAGCTAGGGGTTAAGTGTCTTGCTCAGGGACACATTGGTGTCTCACAGTGGATTTGAATCCGGGTCTTTCACACCAAAGGCAAGTGTCTTATCCACTGCACCATCACCACCCGATTCAGGGCAAATGTTTCTCAACTCACACTTACATATTTAAATCTAACATCAGTCAGCTGAAGACACCAGTTTACATGGACCTGATTGTTAATGGTCTAGTCTGTGTAAGGTTTTACTCCAGTTAAGTCCATATTAAACCATGAGATCCTACGTACACCTTTAAACATGTAACCTGTAATCAGTCCACCTGTTTGACACCACACGCCAATTACATTATAGACCTCAAGCAAACGTCCTGTTTAAGTGGCACTAACCTTTGTTTCATTTCATTATTCTTTCTAACGCTGCTGTTTTGTTTGTTTGTTTGAAAAGGAGGGTTATTTTGTCATTTTCAAGGCATTATTAGAAGATGAAGACGTGGTAGCAGTTGTTAGGTGGATTTAACGGAATGTGTTTTTCTTTTTATGTGCCAATTCAAGAGTTTCTCTCAAATGCTGCATTTGTCACATATCCCCAATTTTCATTTACTGTTTTTCTGAATTTGTCACACAAAGATGAAATGTCTAAGCTTAAAAGCTTAAATGTCAAGGAGCTCAACACCAGAACCAGATTAAATTAGCACTACAGATTGGCACATCTTTGTCTGGGCAAACACTGTTTTTATTGCACATGTTATACGTTGAAGCTGTTACAAAAATAAGGGCTCAAAGCCCAGTTGCACTGCAGTATTCAAACAATGATAGCCGTAAAGGTGTACCAGCTATTATCATGACCAACAAATCTAGGTTAGCGGTTGTGGGTAAACTCCAACATTGCAACATAATGTGCAGGAGACTCTTTCGGTTATTAATCAGACTCTGAGCTGAAAGAGCTTTAACAGGTTGCTCTTAAAAGAAATCCAAACATCTTAATCCAAGTAAAGTTTTCACCTGATGGTTATTACTGATACTGACATATTGTAAGTGTAGCTGGTGATGTGTATCTCCCTCTTTTCATGGCAGCTCAGATGGTTGCAGAAAGAAGAGGCAGCGACGATGTCATCATGGAAATAGTTGTCTAGTCTTGTAAACTGGTCAAAAGGGACATCACATGAGACCACAGGAGGTCCTGGGGATCTACTTTTACCAAGTGCTGAGTTTAAGGATCTGCTGCATTTTGGTGGCTGTTTGATAAGTCTGGTTACCAAATCCTGGATAGATGATTGATCTTTTGATGCATTCTTTTACCAAGCTTCCTACATAGCCTCCCTGTCATCTTATTCCTTCAGACTATGCTGTTTTTTTTAGTGTTGTTTCACTTCACTTGTTGTCTGTATAACTATCGCAAAACTTTAAGACAAGACTAATGGACAAAGTAGTTTGTTAGTGCCTTTCAAAGGAAATATGAACATTACAGGAACCTTTCACCACCTCTATGGTCAATGTGTGGTTAAGCATGGGGGTGATGGGAATTATCTAGGTCATTTTTTTAAAAGTAAGCAACGTTGACTGTTAGTAGGACAATAACCGTGCATACACAGGGTTTGATTTCAGACTTTGATGAGACACAATGAAGTCAGAAATTCTTCAACGAACGCAAATGTGTCTACAAATTGAGCAAATAATACATTATTTTTACAGTATCCAAAAACGCGTGAATTAGCAGAGACAGTCAGTAGAAAAAGTGAGCAGAGTCAGTGGACATGATCGCGTGCAACCTACAGTGGCAACAGTGGTTAATTGGTTAACTCTATAGAGTGTGTTGTTGTACCTTTTGTTTCCACAATGTGATCGTGTGTTTAAGACTGCTCACGCTCACTTTTTCTGTCTGTCATCAGGACTTTCTATTATCAATTCCCTTTCTAGGAAGTTGTTTTGTGTTTGACTCTTTGAGAGAAACCTTTTTGTTAGATCTTTGGCTGTAAATAAATGCCCTTTTTATTTGAACCTAAATCTGTGTCCTCCTTTCCTTAAATCCCTGAACACATTATTGTCACTTACCTCCTCCCCCTGGACTTCCATCTGAGGTTCGTAACACCATTAATCACAATTTTTGATAGTAATGTTAGAGCCATTACAACATAAACAAGAAGCAAATAAGCGAATTTAATCTCTCTCGAATTTTTTCTTACACTTTCTTCCTCTCTTTCTTTCTTCTTCCACATTATTCCCAGGCAGGAGAGTGGTCGGAGAAGCACAGGTGTGACCAATAACATTTATAATGGATGACCCTGAAACTGACGCAGGTAAGACGAATATAGCCATTATTCATTTGATTATTCACATGTGTGCTTCAGGGAATAATGCAGATGGGCCTTTTATTGCTCTCAGAGTAGTCTTGTTTAGATAACGGTGTAAACTGATGTTGGATTGTAACTGCGACACATTATACTGTACAATTTTGTCAAATACTGCTCTTGAGTGTGAAAAGGAAGTGTGGGGGGGTAGCATGAGAGTGTGTGTTTTTTGAGAGACGTGTTTGTGGTTTGCTTGTTTTTATTATTCAGCCGTGTGTGAGAGGTGTGAAGTTTTAGTCTAGAGGTCTATATTTTTTTTTCCATTTGACATTTCATCTCTTGCCAGAATTTACTGAATCAGCCTTTTCTGTGGATTTAGGTCAGTTGTGGTGATTTTATCTGTATATTCCGTATTTGTATCTGTACCGAAACTAGGTGATGTATTTCTCAGAAGTGGAAACAAAGAGGTGAAATTGTGCTACTTTTAAAATCTACAAAAATGCCAAAAGTCCTCTGTACTAAAATCATGTCAGATTTTAAACTGACATTGTAAAGTAAATCAACATTTTTAAACAATTGTAACTGCATTAAAAACAGGTACACGATTAGATTATATTTTGCAGTATAAGTGGTAATTCCTGTGGTTTGGTATTTGAAAAATATGCATAGTTTCTTTTGAGCCAAGAGTTACATATTCAGATTGACATCTCTCATGTCTGTGTGGTAAATATGAAACTACAGCCAGTTAGCTTAGCTTAGCATTAAGACTGGGAACAGGTGAAAACAGCTTCCCTGACTCTGTAACATCAGCACATTTAACATATTACATATCATTTGTTTAATATAAAAAAACCCATGGTGCAATAACAGCATGTTGTGGTTTTATATTGGATTATATGCAGGATTGCAGATTGTGTTACCTTTTGGACAGACTTTTTCCAGTCTTTATGCTAAGCTAAATGGCTGCTGGCTGTATATATGTATTCATATTCACGCAACACCTTTTAACTCCAATGAGTAGAACAGTACAAACAACAAGGGCACCCAGGCCAAAATCTCTTGGCTACAAAAGGTTTGTGAACTAAATTAAAATAACAAACAGCAGAGCATTAGAAATGGACAAAGACCCATAAGAGCTGGTAGCAACTGGATTTACAGTATTACTGAAACAACCAATCACAAACCAGTAACTACCAAGGCAATCATTTAAACCAGTCAATCATAGCAGCTCACCTGCAGACCATCAGAAACATCTACACCACTACAAGTCCTCAGAGCTATGGACGGATCCAGCACATCATTATTGACGGAAGTCTTATTATACACATACATCAACACAACCATTTTATACAGTAACAAAATTGCCTTTTTATTCACAAATATACAGACTGTGCCCTCATGAAGGAATTAAAAAGTAATAATTAAAGCTTTTTATAGTTTCAGTATATCTTTTATATATATATAAAAGTGTTTTTTGTTCTTCATGTGTTTTATTGTTCAGTCTTGAAAACTAGCTGAGGCTATAATTGCTGTGGTATGTAGCACTGGTTCATGCAATTTGTCCATAGAAATAAACATTAAATATAGAAAAAAAATTCAAACAAAGCTGTTAATTTTGATGTGTAAAATAAGTGATGTTTCCCTTGACGAGAATATGTTATCCTGACTGATCTTTACATCGCATTTATTTGAGTACAAAAAGATATTCTTCTTTCATGCAAAACATCACTCCTAAAAGTGTCAGCCTACTTTTAAAACAACCCGTTTTTATTCCCAGGGTGTCACATATGGATGCTTTGTCAAGTACTTTGGTGTCTGGTACGAATGCACAAGGTGCCCCAGAGTGTTATATTTCAACACACTGGGGGAAGCTCTTCAATGCCATTGTTCAATGTTAAAAGTACAGCTATATATAAGCAGAAAAGTCAGAGCAATGAGGTGGTTGGGCTGAATGGGTTGGTGGGTCAGAAACTAGATTTTGACCCAGGAGGTCAGTGTTGATTTCCTGAAACAAAAGTCAACATTACTCATTTTAAGTGATTACACTTACATAAGTTTCATAAGTAGCGTACCTAACATAGTTAATGTAACCCCAACCATGATTTCTTTCTATCCTAACAGAGTAGTTATTGTGCCTAAACCTAGCTGTGATGTTTTCACAATGATAACCACTAGTTTTATTTTGAAAGTCTAAGCGAATGTTGCATCTTCATTCTTGCTAATTTACGCGTAGCAACATCCAAAAAAAATGCCTTGAGCCTGAAGTGGGTATTTCTGATCAACTAGAATGTTTGACAGGAGTGTTTTACAGAAACTAACTTGTGAAAATCTTTCGATGACATTAAAACCAGTAGTGCTTCTCAAACGTGTTACAGTAGATCCAGACACATTTCCACACACGCTCCCAGACATTCGCACACAGCACCTAAACAACAAAAAAAGTCATCTGTTAGTGCATTTCCAAATGACTGGTGAGCGTTTTTCTCTTTCACCACCACTTTGGTTAACGTATGGTTGAGTTTAGCTGACTATATCTACTTGGTCAAAGCTCTGCAGGCAGAATAGTGTCATAGCTGCTTCAAATAAATGGCAGGCTATTTGAGCCTTTAAAGAAGCTGCAGGGAAATAAAATCTAAAATGTCACAAAGGGAAGATTTATATTGGTTCAGAAGCCTCTTTGTGGATAATAAGGAAGTGAAAGACGCAACATTCACGGAGGAAATTCATTTTGTTCCAGCGAATGAATAATGAATAAAAAAAGTAAAGTGACAGTGTCATACAATGTGAACTACATGTGAAGAAACTTCCCACATCCAGTGACCCGACAAGTACTTCCCCAATTTACTTTTGAGCTCACTGATGTTTTGATCCCTTTATCATAACGTAACATTAGAAATTCTGTTTCTCAGTTGAGGAACTTTACGGCTATTAAAACTTTCAAATACAAATAATTGATAAGGAACTTGAGAGGAGAATTCATGACTTACCGTTTATTTCACATTTCAACCCAAATATGACAATGATAATACAAATAATGACAATGACAGCGACAACGCCTTTGTGAAGGCGTCTGGCAGTTTTGTAACCTGGAAGAAAAGAGGAGAGATGTCACGGCACAGAAGAAAGAAGAGAGGTTTTCACAATGTTGATATTTTCATCACCTTTGTTTTCTCGACTAGAGCAGTGAGCTTAATGTAGCAAGTGATGCAACAATGAGTGTGTTGCTGTGGGTCCACATTTTACAACATTGTGAGCCTGTAAGGTCGGGTTAGCATTCAGAAAACACATCTCTACTCAGCCAAACTACAGCCTGACAAAACAAAAACTGCTTTGTCTGTAGGCTTTAGTGCTAAACATTCTGGTAAGATATTTAAATAGTCAACTGAAAATGTTTTATTTGCTTTGACTTTCTCTGTATTTAACCAAGACCAGATCTTTCTCTTTCTTAAATTTAGTTTTTTACTTACTGAAAGCTGCTTGTTGCTCTTCTGTGTTGTTTTTATTTTCTGCTGAAAAATAGAAATAAGTATTAAAACATGGGAATATTTTGATCAGTCTGGCTCCATTTTAAGGAAAGAAAGATTTTGTGTAATACATATAAAATGCATTAACGACTGCGTGTGACCTCTGACATAAATTGCAATTGTAAGTAGCTTTGGATAAAAGCCTCAGCTAAATTATTAAAATGTAATGCGAGGGTCCTCTACATGTGAAATTACAACTTTTTCCAACTCTGTAGAATCTGAATCCTGATCTTCAGTGAACTTACCAACAGTGAGGTTAACATAACAACTCTTGTGCACTTTTTCAGTGTGAAAGGAGCATCTGTATCTTCCAGCGTCAGAGAGCTGTACTGAGGAGAGTTTCAGTGACAGGTTTCCTTTGGTCAGACCCTCATGAGAGAGAGACGTTCTTCCTTCAAAGTGCTCCTTCTGCTCTGCAGGACTGTCTTTTCCGTCTTGATGCAGGTGTACAAACTGGTTATGGCTCCCACGACTCCACTCCACTGTCATATTTGTTGCATCCAGTGGGGGTTCAAGGTGGCACTGCAGAATCACGTCCTCACTGACTGCAGCTTCCACTGGATCAGAAGAGCAAACCACTTCTGGGTCTGTTGAAGAAGCAGCATTAGACCAGATACAGACCTTTTACACTCATCTACAACAAAGCTCTTGTTGTTGCACTCAGGGGAATTTGATTTATGACCGCTAGCATTTCTAAAATCATCAACTGATTATGAAACATTACAGTAAATTACAGCCAGGAGCTTTTCTCAGGCGTACCAGATGGAGGTTTTGCATTGTTGTCTTGTAACAGACAAAAATAGCAACATCTGTATAAACTGTTGACTAACAGGAACTGAATCACGAACTGCTTCTGCTCCTGTGTAGCCTATTTATCTTTCAGGGACAAAAAATGAGGGAACTGATATTATTAAGTGTACAGTGTATATAATAGCCTAATCTCCTGACAAGAACAACTAAATATTACTGCGCAAATATGGCCGTCCTTTTCAACTCAATATCATTACTCCTACTTATAATAATAATTAATAATAATCAATTAACTAATTATTATAAAACCTTTTGCGTTATGTCTCCAGCCGAAAAAATACTTTTGAGGTTTTGAGAAGAATGAAAAGTGTTTTAAACCAGTTTCATGTCACATCTTTTTAGGCTTGAAAGTGGAAATGTTCCTTATTCCTGTGCTGTACATCTCGGCTGAAAAAGGCTCTAAAGTACATTACATTATCGATCGAAATACATGAAAATCAAATGATGGAATGATTAAATCTGTTTCAACTTTCCTGTATAGTAAAGTGGATGAAAACCGTTGATAAGTTTATCAAATGAATTGTGTAATAGTCTTAAACTAGAGATCTAAAAATAAGTGTGTAATATTTTTTGATGAATTTATCATTTGGATCAAGACAGAAACTAAAAACTGTTGCAGGTCATGTTCTGTTAAGCAAGAAATACTAGCTGTTAATATCAGCAATGACAATAACTGTCTGTTAATGAAACAATATATAAATAGCGTACCTCTGGAAGCCATGGCTGCTTGACTGAGGAGCAAAACAACGAATCTCACTTTCTCCTTCATTATGTTCAATAAAAGTAAGATAGAGACAGGTGATATTTTATGAATGATGACAGAGGAAAACATATGAAATGTTGCTGTTGTCCTGTTTTTGGTGGTGAAAACTAACCACGCCTACATGATCACATACTTCTGCTTAGTTACACCTGGAGGAAGTTACCTTTGAATCCTGATTGGATAATAAAATTAGGAGGAGGATGAATATGTTATGAAGGCCGCATAAAGTGACAGATGTGGTGAAACAAGTTTTGAGGGCCGGATTTATTTGCTTCAACCAGTTAACCAAAGTAAAGCAGCCTGTTTGTGTGATGCTTAAAAAGATTAAAGCATATGTGTACACGCTTATGGCTGTAACAGCAGGCAGGAATATAAAACCCAAGCCTCACCATAACCTTACATCACCAAAAGGGGGCAGGGAGGGTCTGTTTAATGATGCTATTTGCATTATGGTAAATGTAGGAAATCAGTGGTTTTGGAGCTCAATCTATTCTAGAGAGAGTTGTGATTTGATTGCTGCTGCTGCTCCCTTGTTTTGTTAGTCCCACAGCTTTACGGTAGTGCAATGGTAAATCACTGAATAAGCTTTTTAAGAAACATCCGGCCATCAGTCAGATGCTGTTGGGACCTTTGAGCTCATCATCACTTGGTTACATCCCAAAAGACCACAACAAAGCAACAGTTTTCATATATATTATACATTGCATGTAAAAAGAATAATATTGTTTATTTTGTTGTACAAATACAAATGAATGGTGACTAGTTATTTCCTGTGACATACGAAGAACAAACACGTCGACAGTCAGCTGGCAGTCACCGACTGTAGTTATTGAGGTGTGTTCAAGTGCAAGTTTAAACAAAATACAGCCTTTTTTAGTCCTAGTTCTTTGATTTCAGCTTCTTTGATTAAAGAGTTAGGCTTGGGACATGTTAACTTATCTTAGGAGGTGACTGTGGCTCAGTTTGATCTCCAGACTCCAGCTCCTCTTGTTCACATGTTGAAGTGTCAAGACACTGAACCCCAAATTGCTCCTAATGACACCTTGCATGGCAGCTCCTTACCATCTGTGTAGATTAGGCTATGTCGACTTTTATTTAATTAAAAGGCTTAGCTCTTCAGTAAAGTAACGCTAAGGACATTTATAGTTAGGATTGAGAGTTCAAATATAAAGGATTATTGTGTTACAATGTATTTTGACTTTGGTACAGATTTTCCTTGAACTTTCACAACAAATTTACAGTGAAATCACGGTAATGTTTTTATGAAAGTTTAAAAATGAGGAAATTGTGATTGTTTTATAATATGTTTTGAGGATACTTTACTGTGCAGTAATGTAAAACTACCTCAGTTCAATTGCTGCAAAACACTTTGCGCTTTTCAGCACACCTTATGACTTCTTTAGTGATCCATCCATCCATCCATCGTCAACCGGGGCTGGAGCCAATCCCAGGTGTCATCGGGCGAAAGGCCGGGTAAACCCTGGGCAGGTCCTACACTGAACAATAACATGCTAAAATTGAATTGAATTGACACTGAGCATTACAAAACGGACAGGAAGCAATAAGTGCAGGTTTTTCGTTCAATCAAAGATACAACTCAGTAGTCCACGTGGCAACTTTGGATTTCAGCGTCGTAACATCCCCACAGTCTCAGTCTGCAACTTCACAATTAGGTTTCGTTTCCTCAAAGTAGCCACGCCTTGGAAAAAACATGCCTGAAACTGAAAGTAAACGGCACAACTGTTGCACTGGATCTTGAAAACTTCAAGGTAAGTTTGTCTTAATTACAGTAAACAGTTTAACCGCAATAAATAAATAAATCGGCTGATATATTGTACGTAATAATGAATTTCACTTGGAATATTCTGCTGTGTGTGTTTTTTCTAGATGGGTACAATATTCAACTTACTTCAGCAGCACAGACTGGAGTCTTACTACAACAAATTTCTTCAGCTGGGTGTGAAAGATGAAAGAGATTTCCTTGATGGAGTAACAGATGAAGACTTGAACAACATCGGTAAGGTTACTGAGTGTAAATAAGTGTGAAAGCAGTAAGTCTAAAATGTTACCTGGTTTTGAACATATGCTGTATGTGTGCCTTAACTATTTTCATGTAAAGGCCTGTGTTATTGCCACATGTACAGAAAACATTTCACACAACGTTTCTAAGAGGTATCTGACAAAGTTTTACACATGATGACAGGAGTTGTTCTCTGTTCTCTAATGTGGCCATATGGTAAAAAAAAAAGAGAGAAAGAATTGGCATTAGACCAAAATAAGACCAACCATGACAGTTTTTCTCGATTGCTTAAACACATTTCTTGAAATGATGCCTCTTTTTCTTGAAACTCTAAACACAAATCCACAACTTCTCGCCCAATTCCCCAAATGTCCTATTTTCATGTCAAAATGAAGCTCTCCTCTCAAAACCATTCAATCTTGCTGAAAAACGTAACTTTGCCCTCAGACATAACACACAAGCCCTCAAAAACACACACACTACAACACAGTCTTACACACTGGTGAGATAAATTCAAAACAATACAACAAAACCTGGTTATTAGTAATGCTGCTTGTGGTTCTCCCCCTCAGAAACCTTTTCACATGATGAACACAAAAGAAATAACAAATGTATACATTGGCACATTAACACACAAAATAATTATTCTGAAATTGTTTGGTGTGTTGAAACTACAAATTTCTATTTCACCATTCACAGTTTAACAATGTAGCCCAAAGTTTAGGAATATATTGTGTTTAATAAAAAAATGCTCTTGTCTGATAGACAATACTGTCTATTCAACTGTTGTTTTTCTTGAATCGTATTCATCTCATCCGAAAATCTTTAGCCAAAACAAAATAAATCGGTTAATATACTGTACGTAATTCCAAAACTGAATGAACTGACTCTGGCCCTTTTATCTATCTATTAAAGCTTCAGACTGTTGCGTTATCAGTTATGACTCTTTGTGTTTCCGCCTGGGTAGCTGTGTGCTAACTCAGTTCAACCTGTGCTGACTTGAGTGAACAGTATTGAATGTTAGTGTTGTCTCAATGACCACACGGTGTAGGCAATGATACATGAAGGTATTTTTGTGTTGAGCTTTTTGAAAAATGGAGTTAGTTAGTCTGGTTATAGTGTTGAAGGATATCGACTCATTTGAAGTATTTGTATAGTGAGGAGTAGTAGTAGTAGTAGTAATAATAATAATAATCCTTATTTGTAGTAGTAGTAGTAGTAATAATAATAATAATCCTTATTTGTAGTAGTAGTAGTATAGTGACATGGAAATGTCAACAGGTAGATTGAATGCTTGAACAAAAGTACAGTAATTTTTGCTTGTGAATTCATATGAATTATTTCTTTAATTCTCCACCAAAGGCACTTCTAAGGCTAGATGAAATTACTAACATCTTTCCAATATTTTATTTTAGAATTATTTACATTTAAATAATTTGTTGTTGGGAGATTTCAAGCAATGGTCCAAAGAAAACAAGTCAACATCAGTAAATGAACATTAAAGTTAAATAGAACTGATAATAGAAATGATCAAAATATGAACAGTATTTTTATTTCCAAACAGGATTAAGCCAGGTGGAAAGGAACCGCTTTTCTGCCATGAAAGACACCGTTCGCAGATTCAGAGCTCCAGGACACCCAGCAGCAACGTCTGTGAAAAAGTCAATGGAGTCATTCTGTCTGCAGTACACATACCCCAAATGTCCTCAACCGAAATACATCAAAGGTAAGAAGGTTATTAAATGTACAACATTTCTTTTCCATTTTTTTTTTCCATTAAGCTCTTTACAGAACGTAAACAGAACGGAGGAAAAATGTGGATTCTGTTACTGACTGAACCACAGGAGTGTACGCAGATCATTTTCAGAAAAAAAGTAAAATAATATTAGAAACAGGGAATTGCCTTAAATAGCCCTACAAAATGTTTAAATATCTTTATTTTTAATTATTGAATCAAAGGATGGTGTGTTTTGATAGGGTTAATTGGTTATTGTGCATGGACTCCAACTGACTTTCAGTCTTATTTACTGATTAACTGATGTAACTGTTTAAAATTCAAATTCAGTTTCAAATCCAAATCAACTTAATATGATTAATCATTTGAACAAAACTAGAAGAACATTCTAGCGAACAAAGATTATCGCTGTTGAACTTATGATTTATCAGTTTTCACACATAAAGCCTGACATTTCACTGCTGCCATGCTAGCGGTGTGGCCACAGCTGTTCATGGTGTCCAATGACTTTGGTGATCTTCTGACTTTTCATCTAGAGCCACTATGAAGGTTCAAATTATGGTTTGAAGTAAAATATCTCAACAACTATTGGATGGATTTCCACAAAATGTGGTGCACACATTAATGTTCACCTCAGGATGAATTGTAATAGTTTTGGTGATCCCTTAACTTTTTCATGAATCGCTATCATCATCATCATCATCAAAACATCAATTTGTCCAGTTCTTTGGTTTCTAACTAAATACCTGCAAAACTACTGACATTGCATCAACACTCTCAGCTGTACTGTACTGTGTTTAGTGCTAATTATCAAATTTAACATGCTAAACCATGATGGCTAGTATTATATCTGCTAAACATCAGGATGTAAACACTGTCATTGTGAGCATGTTAGCATTACAGCCTGACAGAGCGGCCATCAGGACTCATAGTTTTGTTACCCATTGTTTTCCCTGTGATTAATGGTTAAGGGCCGTCCTCTGTCAGGTGTGTATCATATCATCATATTATGTAGTTGACCAAGGGCATTTTGAATTTGCAGATATGGATCCTGCACAAAACACAGTTGAAGATCTGATGTTGAGGATCTGTCACATTGAAGGTGTTGATCAATCCAGAGGTGTCTGTCTCTACACGGTGGATGGAATGCCTTTGACAGACGATCCTTTCTTCAACACATGTAAGTTCATTCGTGCCGCAGGCTAAAGTAAATAACGAGGTCATATTCAGTGTGATTATGCACCACAGTTAATATTAGGCCTTAGGCCATATTTGAGTTTTTGGTATTACAGTAAATAAATACAATATTTAACGTTTGATGTTTGTTTGTAAATATTAATCCCCAAGATTTGATCAAATCAGACAGGGGTGGATGTCTCTTTATGTCATCAGAATCATTTTGAGGAATCTTGAAAATAAAACAAAGAAAGAAGACCAAAACAGAAACCGCCAGTGTGACTAATATAGAAGATCTGCAATTTTTTCAGTAAGGTGCAACAAAGTATTTAAAATGCTCATTTTTATTTTGTTCACCTACAGGGTCTCTAAATGACAGACATATTGAAAATGAAGCTTTAATCTATGCCATATTTACACCGAAGGAGAACCTGAAAACAGCTCCTCAGATGTCGATGCAAGAGGTTACTGAAACCCATGGCACTGATACAGTCCGATGCCACATTATGCTCAAGGTGATTTTATGTTAGGCTTTTGTTTCCTCAATTTTGTTTTGCTCTTACTACCTACTAGTCATATATGTGAAAATAGAGCCTAGGTTTAAAAATACTGAAATTTAGTCATCATGATTTAAAAAGATAAATACATAAAGTTATAATGAACCTTTTTTTGTTGATAGGTGTCCCGTGAATTGTTTTATAGATGTGACAGTCTAGGAGGGAAATGGTTTTGTTATTTAGTGTTTTTTGCTGCAGGATTGTAGTTGGGCCCAAACTTTCAACAAGACTTACCAAACTGTAGAAGCTCTTGTAACATGTATTTGTTCCCCATCATACACAGGACATGATGCGGTATGAAGAACATGATGCTTGCTTTCCACTGCTGGACTTTTTATCTATTTCTGTTTTCTCTCACTGGTCTTGTTTTGAAACTTGTGGTGTATGATACCACATCGTGTGTGTGTGTCAGCCAAGCTGCAACCTCCAAGTCAGAAAAGCGAAGCCAGTGCAGTACCTTAAACCAGCCACATCTTTTATATAGTCTATGATATCACTGTGGACTAGCCTGACATGGGCTGAAATTTAAATCTTTGACTTCATTTTCTCCCTTTGTTAAAACAACTATTTGATACAGGGAGACTTCGAGGTGACGGTGGATTTGTCAAGTGACACAGTGGCTAATTTGAAGAAAAAGCTCTCAAATGAGAGTGGAATCCCAGGACATGTTCTTCATTACAAGTAATTCTGAATTATTGAAATGCATGGATAGTGTGGCTTTTGACCCGAATTGACACTGATTTTGAACTGTGTATAAATCATATTTTCAGAGGAGAACATGGCAGTGGCAACACATTGGAAAGCTGTGGAATCTCAGACGGGTCAACAGTGTACTTCTCACTGTCCATGTTTTCTGAAGAGGTTCAAGACTACGAACATTTATTCATCCATGATGTTGAGCCCTTGGTCCAACAAACCACCAAAGGAATCAGTGTCTTCTTGTCTTCACTTTATGTCATTGTAAGCAGTGTTCAGAAGATCAATCTAAATTTAGATGTTAATGTTGGGACTTACCTAAGTCATTCGTACAAGATGTGTTTGGCATTAAATAAAAAATACTGTACCAACATTTAAAAAAAAAAAAACTTTAAACCAACCATCTTCACAGGTTTATATAAATGGTTTTTGAAGGTTCTAATACATATGTATAAAAAAATAAAATAAAGCACAATCTACAAAAACCTTTACATCTTTTGCAAGAAAGGAACTACAAACTGTCTTTATTGCTGAACTTATTAGATGCACTTTCATCTCAGTTCAAAACTGATATTTTTATATTCTAGAAAAACAAGAGTCAAGGAGTTCTATACAAGAATTTGATTGCTTACATACGAAAGCTGACTGGATGTAACCCTCTGGCCCAAAGTTTGTTCCAGTTACTCTTGAGGAATGAGTTAATTTCCAGGAATCAGAAGGTAAAATAAACAAGAAGGTGTAATATTGTTATTACTTTTTGCATTGATTTTTTAGAAGTGTGTTTAGAGGTATTAAGCATAGTTGTGCTTTACACTGCATAGTTTTTAAATTAAAGCTTTTAAAATGTCATTGTCCTCTTCAATTAATGTTTTTCTTTTCCTGTAGATTGCACTGGTTGAAGGCTTGTACATGCTCTTTAGGGAACTTTTGCCACAGCTTGGAACAAAACGAGGAGAAAAGATCATTGAGGACCCTGATGTCTTTGAGTATTCAACATACTGCTGGGCATATCTACTGTCAGAGACAAAGGTATTTACATATGAGTTTGGAGGTTTGGTTAATGTCTTTGAGCTCTGTTTTGTTCTTCACCCATTCAAAATATCTGACTGCTAAATGCTTCACTCTGTTAACCAGCAGGTTATGATTTTAGTTTTGCTTTTCTATTCTGTTTCTTTCTAGCTCTATTTTTAAATAGAATTTAAATATATAGTTTCAAATACAAAGCACTGTTGCAACCCTGTGTGATCTTTGAAAAAGCCCATTGCTCTGATGATAATTGCTCGATGTTTTCTAAAAGTCATCTCATACTGCACCTTTGACTCAGGAGCTCATGACATCAAATCATTGACGTTGAGATTTTTCACTAACATCATTTTGACAGAAACTAGACACCCCAGAACATGAGAACTACACACCTGTCTCTCTGATGTCTGAAGAAGGCAGCCGTTTCTGTGATCCAGTCACCATACCTGGAGTACCAGGTGTCCTTGAAAAAGCTTTTGTACTTCAGAAAATCAAAAGTAAGTAAAATGTCTTATGGTTCAAAATTACACAAGCAAACCTCCCAACATGTACACATTTTGCATACAGTTTATTTAGTTTGGGTGGCATTTAGGTTTGAGTTTCTGCTTTTCTTCAGCAGCTCTGATAAAGTGCAGCTCACAGTCCCAAACAGACGAAGTTTGCGCCTCAGATTTTAGATATTTATTTTGCTAAACTATACCAGCTATGTTGCTGCGACTCACGAAACCTCAAGAGCGGGTTCACTTGATTCGGGCCATGACATACTCCGGTGTCACATCCGCTGGGTGGAGTACATCAGAAATTTCAGTTTATTTTTCTCTGTGTTTTGGCTTTTCATATGAGCCCTTGACATTTGAGTTATTTGACGTGCTTGTCTGTCAGGATCAGGATGAATGCAAAGCAGGAGAGAGTCCAAATACAAGACACTGGAGAGCTGACATACAGTTCCAGGGATTTTAATCCAAAGCACAAGGCAAGAACAATACTTACGGGTAGTGGAAACTGGCAAAATCCAACATACTAGTGATGTGTCCGTCCGTATCGAGGCTTCGAAGCGTGTGTCGAGTAATGCAGGTGATTTTTGTGAAGCGCGTATCGAGGCTTGTGTTGATGACGTATGTGGTGACGTTCGAAAGGAGCAGCAAACCAAGTTATCATAACCCTGTCCCTTGTTTCCACTTTCCTTTTGACCCTTAAAGCTTCACACACCAAAGCCATGTTGCCGTTATAATCACTCTGCCGGTTTTACATTTTTTGTCCACTTTATGGCACAGTAGAGCAAATGAAGCACCGTGAAGCTTCGGCCCATGATTGAACCAATTGGATGGAAAGCTTCAATGCTTTATAAAGCTTCATCTCGCCATCACTACAACATACAGAACAGGTAGCACAGCAACAGGCAGAACACTCATACAACCAGGCAGGGACTAAAACAGAAACAGCAAACATATACAGTATAAACCAGGGACTAACAAGCAGGCGAGAACAACACAGGTGCGAGGGATCAAGACTAATGAGGCAGGCAGGCAGAGAGACAGCAGGGGAAAACAGAGAGACAGGCATGCAGAGGGATTACTGGGGGAACAGGCATAATACATGTTACTGAACACTAAACACAGGCCATATCAAAAATAAGATGTAACAGATCAGAATAATATAAATAACAAACTAATCTAGACACAAGCAGACAGATCACAAATAAACTTCAACCAAGAGGGAAAACAGAACACAGAGCAGACAACGCCAAAATAATGCATTACATTTAATCATTTAGCTGACCCTTTTATCCAAAGCGATGCACAATTGCTATACATGTCAGAGGTCACACACCTCTGGAGCAATTATGGGTTAGGTGTTTTGCTGAGGGACACAATGGTGGATTGGTTACAGTGTGGGATTGAACCCAAGTCTCTCACACCAAAGGCATGTGTCTTTTCCATTGTGCTATCACCACCAACGCAAGGCATTAGCAACAAAACAAACGGGCCGAACTATAACACAGAGTGGCTAAAGCAAGGATTATATTTCTGTGTCCACGAGTATGCGAGGGTCCGCGTGACAAAAAAATCGTCATCAGAGGGGGCACGTCTGCGCGGTGTCTAGCGCTACCAGGACGCTAACCGATCTTCTGCGCATGTGTAGAATGTGTCCGCCAAGCTGACTGCAGAAGGTAGTATAAACAGAAGTAGTCCGTGTCTGCGGGGTCCGCAGCTGTCCATGTCTGCGTCTGCTCCCGAGTATATTCAAGGCTTAAGGGAGACAAGATAACAGAACAACACTGGCAAACTCAGACAAACTCAACAACAGACCTAGATAACTGAACAAAACAGATTAACAAAGAATGATAATAACCAAACAAATCAGGCAGAGCTCACAATTAACACTAGCAGACTGGACACAGGACAACAGACAGGACTGAAATCCAGAACCCAGCAGACTATAAAACAGATACTGAACTGATCAAACAACCAAAACGCACAGAGAGCTAAACTAAGCGTAGCCGACAGGCAGTGTGTGACATCGTCAGGTTGCAGTGTTCCCTTAAAGCTTTTCGCTTTACATTAGCAGGTACATTAGCAAGTGTTTCAACCGTACCGTTTTCACAATAACAGCAGGGTTTGGGTTATCAGATGAAAATACATATGTTTTAATGTTAACAAGGAAAAATGTTATCATGTAAATACATAGTCATATTTACAAATTACATACAAGTTTTTGAGTCTATAAATTGTTGTTCTTAATCCCATTTAAGGGTCATCCATTTGCATGGGTCTCCCCTTGGCCTTTGGCCGGGGTAATCTGTACCCTCTGACAGCGGGCCCTGCCTCCAGACGGCTTAATATTTACATCTAGCTACTGACAGACACCTGAGGAGAAACACTTGCTCTATTGAAAACGTGATGTGTATCTGAATGCATTATTTAAAACTAAATTTTGGGTCTCCTTCGTTAAAGGGAAAGCCTGGGGGTTATAAGTGAACAATTAATTTGTGAGATTCAATAGTGAGTTATTTTACGGCTGGGTGTTAATGCCTTTGGTCTTTGGATGCAGCTGGGCTTGTCACATCTCATTCCAATTTGAACTGTTTCTTCTTCTCACCTATGTTATTGGTGAGAGGCTGGTTATGTGTAACTATGGACATTATATTTTGACTTTCTCTTTGCCTTTTGTGAAGATGGCGAGAAGATTCCAAACTGCACTGAGGAAGTTTTGCAAGAAACGTCACTCAACAGAGCCACTGACGTTGAGAAAATTTTGCTCAGTGTTCATCCATCAATTAACACATATGATCTTTGGATTTCACATGAAAGTGTAACTGGTCAGAAGTATGTATTCCCCAATTTTATTTTCAACAAATGTGATACAACAAAACACACATGTTTGTGTACATACATGTGTTGTCACAGATTCCCAAAAGATGCACAGTGCACAGACTGTACTTTATGCCCAAGAAACATGTTTAAATATTTGTAATAACTAATAATAAAATAAAAATAATAAAAGATTTCATTTTTGTAACTGACTCTCAGAATGGGCAGGTGTAAGCCTAAACAAGATATCAAAGTATACAACTTTACAAACTTACTCAAACATTGTTGTTTTCCACCACACCTTGTGCTTGTAATAAGTTGATACAATCTCACAGTATTCACAGTAACTCAATTATTAACCCATATAATTAATTTACAGCTTCCAGGTGAATACTGAGAAGAGTTTGGGAGACATGGCAGAAGAAATGAAAGCTTTCCCTCGACTCAGTGTGACTCCACCACTGCTTTTGAAGAGTCTTGGTTATGAAGACGTATGCCTTGTTTTCCTGCGTGAAGGTACTGCAAAAATCTGAATGCCTAACTTCATAATTCTGATGATGATTTCATAAAAACATGTGTTACAAGGACAACAGTGCATATGTGTATACAACTGTGCTCAAATGTCCCAAAAAATGGATTCAATGCTTTTTAAAGGTGTTCACAAATCTCAAGTCCAAGGGGAGGTTGTTCCAAAGTTTAGGAGCCACAATTTTGAAGTTACAGTCTCCGGTAGTAGAGATCTTTAAACATCAGCCAATTATACAGTACTGCAGTGTATATGCAAATAAAGTCGTCATGTGCTAAACTGCAGGTGAAGAGAGGTCAAAATTGTGCCATGTGAGGCCTTTTGCAGGTCAACAGCTCTGCAGCAGAAGGTTGTACCTCTTGGAAAGGGGATGTTTTGCTGAGGCAGATCAAGAGGGAGTTATAGTATTAAGAGGATGAGATAAATGCGTGAATTATAATTTCGATCTCTGCTTGAGTTACCATGGGCCTGAGTTTGGCAGTGTAGTTTGCTTGGAAAAAAAACAGCAACGAATCAAACACTTGTTTTGTTGTTCAGCTGCAGAATAGCCCATGCCTCTCATTCTAAGGTTGCTTTTGTGCTCTCTGATGTGTAATGTTGATCTTGCTGTTCTTGTTTTTGGCAGACAACCTTGGAATCTATTTGGGTAAAGATAAGGTGTGCCCAGCAAAGATCATGGTGTATGATTGTCTGAATGGCAAAAAGCAAAATATGGACGTGGACATATTAGCAGCTAGGTGAGTGCTTCATTTTCTTTAGTATTCCTGAAAAAAAATGTTGATTAAAGTTGATTCTTGACCCATTTATTAAGACTAGCAAGTCAATAGAGTGCCTATCTAAGGATTTCTCATGTATTTTTTTGATGTTTTTATTTTTCATGCAGAACTGGTGACCATAGGGAGGACTCTGCGTTTGTCACAACCAGGACTCCAAAAGAAGCTATAATGGTAATGCTGATCTCCAGATATTTTATTGAAATGAGCAGATTAAATCTTGAAGTAGATTTACGGTACAGTTATCGGTGATGGTCGACATTGTTGGTTTTCAAATAGCCATTTCTTAACATAACCCTGAAATTAATAATAGGATGGGGACTGTAATTTATTGTGGTATTGAGTTCCATTGATGTAATCCTCTGCAGGAAAAGCTCCTAGCTGCATTTCCAGTAACTCTGTATGCAATTATTTTAAAGTTGATTAGGCTAGACGGGAGGAGGAGCTAGACTGTGCATAATCTTATAGACTTTTCTTTGAAACATTTTTGTATTTGATGAGGTTTTCCCAGCTAAGCAGATTAAACTTATTTAGAATATGACAATGATGGTAACTAAATGGCCTCTTATCTAGAGGTTTAAGTGTTGGTTTTGTGTAATGAGTTCAGTGGTTTTAAGGCTGTAAATTGTGCATTAGACCAACTTAACTTAGCTGCCTAAGTTGATATGATATATGATGATAAACCTGAAATTTTACTTTATAACAGACCCTATTCATGTGGGGTTTGAACCTATGTGTACTTCACTTTTAGTCTCTCTCCTGTAATGAAAATATATTGCGCTACAAATCTATGCTATTGCCTTAGCGGGAAAAAAACATTGAAACTGTTTTCAATACATTCAGTTACAAACAACACAGATTAAGCCAGGATTCAATAAACCTTCAATAAAACAACTGTTACAGTCTTACCTTGAGTAAAAATAACACATTAAAAATAATACATTAAAAATTCACATTTTCCATAAACAGAGGGCAGATCATAAATGTATATGCTAAACAGGGTTGGACCAAGTATAGAGCCCTGTGGGACGCGAGTTGATAGATATAGATGGTTGGATTTATTTTTGCCGGAATAAGAGTTAGGATTTGATAAGGTTGACAAACTGTATAAAAAATTGAAGTTCCATACTTTATGCAATAAGATGTTATAGTTAACAGTGTTGAATGCTTTCCTTAAATCAAGGAACAACCCCGCTTTTAGCACTTTTGATACCTTAACTGTGTAACAGTTGTAACAAAGTTACAAAACAAGTGCTCTTTCAAGACCCCTATAAAGGATATTTTTCTAGCTGAGCTTCATTTGTGGTTGAGCTTAAATTTCTTGACTTTATCTTCATCAGGTGCTGATAGATACAAGCTCATCCATGACAGAGAATTGCTATGGAAGTGTGGAAATAAAGAAAATAGATGCTGTTAAAGAGCTTTTTGACAACTTTGCAACACGGACCATGGCTTATGACTTTCATCATGTCATTGGGCTTGGGAAGTTTGACTCTACAGTGGAAACTCTCCACACATTCACAGAAACACTCGAAAAGTTCAAGGTAAATATATATTGCACATCTTGAAAACCCCGATAAACATTTTGTGGACCAGATCCTTGTTCAGTTCAATGATGTGCATGGGAGACCTTTTAAAACTCAGATATACTGTACATGTATTTTTTCTGTCGCACGGGTTCCTCAGCCATGATTCAATGGGCTACTAAACAATTCATTAGACACAGCTGTTATTTTTCACTTTCCCAGGAACATGTGCACATCCTCAAGGCAATGGGCTGTACTAAGCTGTACGATGCCCTGGAGCATGGAATGCTCGAGTTGGAAAAAGTCAAGAAGTTTCCAGACTGTAAACTTCGAATCCTTTGTCTCACAGATGGAAACGATTATAGGTAATTTTCCTTCTCTGTGCTAGTTTTGTACTTATTGACTATTTGTATAAGTGTAAAATCAGTCATTCATCAGTAAATATTAGTAAATATATGAGGAGGGTTGAGACTTATCTTTAAGGTTAAAGTCAGAATTAGGTTTAGGTTCAGTTTTATTTTTAGGCATTTAGTTTAGGAGGTTGAATTTAGGACTAGGAGCCAGAGAATGATTTATATCAGTGATGAAGCCGTGGTCATTTAGTTTGTCATGATACCCTGTTGCTGAAAGCATAAAAATGTAAATACCTGCAAATTATATTATGTTTCTTGAGAACATATTCTTTGTCCACAGATCGTCCAACCAGCCAGATGTTGTTACTGCCAACCTGATCAAATCGAACATCATTGTGGATTCAATTCTTCTTGGAAAAGTGGAAAACAATATTCTGCGTGGAATCAGCAATGCAACAGGTACAGTGTGAGAACTTCAATTTACAGTTACTTTTGTTATTATTAGTAGTTATCTAATGATATAATGATATATATCTATATATATCTATATATCTATATATATATCTATATATCTATATATATATATATATATATATATATATATATATATATATATATATATATCTAGATATATATATCTAGATATCTATATATATATATATATATATATATATATATATATATAATTTTCATTTGAACCAGTTTCAATTAAAACTCCATGGTAAGCATGCGAAGGTATGCTAAGGTATACTAAGGCACTCACAAAGTGGATCCAAAACCAGAGGCAGGAGGCCAGTATTAAATAACATCAACAGTAGGGCAATACTTAGGTGTCATGCGTTGACAGTTCTCAATGAGTAATGCAGACATCATAGAACAAGGGAATGTCAAAACAAGTCAGGCAGGCTGGACAAAAAAAAACACTGGCTGGCACAATACAACAAAGACAATCCACCTGAGGGGAGAGGAAAAGTGGCTGGTATATAATCTGAGGCTTGATGAAGGAATTGGAAATGAATGTGCCAGCAAGAGAGGGTTCAGGTGATGGGCAGAGGGAAGAATAAACTGACGGGGCTGAGACACATTGACAGGTTGTGAACCAATAGAAAAAGTGATTGCCAAAACAAAAATATCTTTTGGAATTGATGCCCATTTAGCCAAAATAACATTTGTACCCTAAATCTTCCCAAAAGTGTTCAGTGGGGTTGAGGTGAGGGCGCTGTGCATGCCAATCAAGTTCCTCACTACTGAACATGTCTAGCTATGTGTTTATGGCCCTCGCTTTGTGCACAGGGGCACAGTCATTCCAGACTGTTGCCACAAAGTTGGCAGCATCCATATTGACTAAAATGTCTTCCAATCCTTTATCATTAAGTACTAAAGGGCCTAGCCCAAACCCCAGACCATTATCCCTCCTCCACCAAACTTTACAGTAAGCACTTTGCAAATCTGTGGGTAGTGTCCCCCTGGGACAAGATTCCACTGCTCCAAAGTCCAATTGTGGTATGCTTTACTTTAATGACCAAACACACTTTTCATCCCTGTTCCTCACAGTCTTTCCTCTCGTATCATTTGTAATGTGTGCTCTAAACATTGGAAATGGCTTACAGTTTGAAGTATGGAATGTAAAAAGTGCCAGATATTTCTAGACTGATGGACGGATTTCAACTTGTTGTTTTCACATTTTATTTCATAATGAAAAGGACCATGTGCAACAAGCGACTCGTGCACACACATTTGACAATCTGTAAATAAATATAAAAGAGTGTCAAATATTTTTAGACATTTGTAGTCACAGGAAGCTAGCGAAAGTGAAAATGCTCAACTCTTTGAAGTTGAAGTTACAAAATTGGTATTTAAAACGTAAATATTTATTCAGGAGGAAATTTTTGTTTAAATTTCTATGGTATTTGTGTGTGTTGAAACACGCATTTTTGAGTTCCCATTTTGAATCTAATTCTGCTCCATACTATCCTTATTTTGAAATGAACAATTCTATTAGATTTTATCACCTTTTATCATGTTATTTTTTTTCACAGTGTCATGAACATGTGGTTTAAAGGGCTTTATATAGTATTTTAGTGGTGCATTTTTTAACGAACTCTTTAACAAAAAAACTGTGTTGCTTTCAGGGGGTTGTTGTTTCAAACCAGAGACAAGCACAGACGGTCTGAAGCTTTTTGAGATTGAGACTGTTCTCTCTTTGGAGATGAGGAAACCCAAGAACAAAGCTGACCCATCGTCCATCAACAAAGTTAGTTCACCAATTATTGCCAACAGTTCTGTTTGTAGTGCTCTGAGAACTAGACATCATCACAGTAATGAATGTACCAAATTGATGTGCTTGTTTATTTCCACCTTTTCAGAGTTTCTTAAAAGAGCTCTCTGCTACCCATGGGTATGATGCATTTCCAGAGGCAGTCTTGCCAAGCCAGATGGACAGCAAAGTGACAATGACAGAGAGGTAAGTGGATATTTGCAACAAGCTGAGAAGGGTTAGGGGGTTAGAAGGGTTAACCCTTCCTTATGTTTGTGAAGGTGCGAGTAGAATATTTTAAAATGATTCAAAATCTTTGGTGATTAATTTTCTCTCAGATGACTAACAGATAAACTGACAATTATTTTAAACTTTTGAAAGAAGAGATTGTCACACTCACAGCCAGTATTCTGGCAGCCTGAGAGCTTTCAAAGGCTGCATGATAAATACATACAATTATTTAATTGTATTTAGCAGGCAACAATCTAAAATATTAAAAGATTTGTATTAATATTGAGGTGCTCATGTTTCACACTAGTGCTCTGAAGAATAAGATCCGGGACGCCAAAGTTCGACAATTGATGGAAAAGGACAAACGTATCCTGGAGGAGCTGAGGAGTCTGCACTGTAACCCACATCCCTACTTTACGATCTTTCCATCAGAGTCTGACTTCAGTAAGTGACTGTTTTGTCGTGCATTAAAATCCTTTAAGACATTTTGTCAAGTTCAAGGTACAGGCTCCTTTTTAAGCTGTTGATTATTTCAATGCAATATTGGATAACAGGAAAATCTAAGTGTGCCAGGTACATTTTTCAATTTCTTAACTTTACAGCCTTCTGGAAGATTCTGATGGAGGGACCTCCTGATACACCTTACGAGAAAGGAACCTTTGAGCTGTTCTGCCAGTTTGGACCTGACTACCCAGTGAGGCCTCCACTTGTCCGCTTTGTCACAAGTGTATCCTTTCCAACAAATTGTTATGGTAGAAAATTGTTTCCTCATTTAATCTTATATGAATGAAATAAACATTTGGGTCTAAATGATTAAAATAGATGTACTTTAAATGCAGTGTTATTTTCTTAACGTGAACAAAGGTGTACCACTGTAATATTAACAGTGTGGGGCGCATCTGCCACAACATATTGGACCGGAACTACAACGCTCAGATCACCATGAGAGATATCCTGAATGCTGTATATGGACTGCTCATCATCCCTGAGCCTGAAGATCCATTGGACAGGTTAGATCCAATCCCATAACATACCCATGTTTTCAGTTAAAGGCCTTAAGGCTCGTGCAGACTACACGATTTTCAGCGTCGGCAGATGGCCGTGCCATTCACACTACTTAGCTATCTGGCAGATGTCGGCGATGTGTCAGAAATGTGTTGGGGAGCCGTTTTGATGCGTCCTTTTGTAGTTTACACATAACGACTGCCGACCGCCGATCAACCGCTGATTTACTACCGATCACAGGCTGAGGCTGAGGTCTTCTCATGTCTCTCTGTAACTTAATGTTCACGCAGTTTATTATCTGTGGGCCTAAATAGACAAAATGTGTAATATTAATGGACACATGTAAATAGCATAGTAAATGTCGTGGCAAAGTCACTTGCCGTTTATGTGGGAGACCCGGGTTTGATTCCCACTGTGACATATCCACCAATGTTTCCCTGAGCAAGACACTTAACCCCTGTGCTCTGGCAGTGTGTGACCTCTGACATATCAATTGGTCAATGATATGTCAGATCAATTGATAAAAGCGTCAGCTAAAATGAGACAATGTAAAAACCCAAGCCAATTAAGGACACATCTTCATCAGTTTGACAATAGAAATATATCTCTTTCTGTTGAAGCATTCTGGCAGAGGAATTCCTGACCAGCCGTGAGAAGTACGAACAAGAGGCCAAAAAACATACAGAGAAAACTGCCGCCCAATCACGGGATGACATGGAGAAGGTAAATTAGCAGTGTTTTGAAAAGTTCTGCAGGGGAAAGAAAACAAATCAGGAACACTTGACAGTATAACACAATCCAAACAATAGTCTTGCTTAAACACCTGTTAGTACATCAAAACAATTTAGTCTGTTTGCACATGATGACAAAGAAGAAGCCACATTAAGGGAAAAAAACTTGCATGTTACAGTCAACTTGTTTTTTTATGATGTATTATGTTTTCAGTAACTTTTACATCGACATGACATGTTAATATTTACTGTCTTTACTTCTGATTTGAAAGAAATTGGTGGATCCCGGGCAACAGCGTGTTCCCCCACATCTAATCTGTCCACTCACCAACAAGATGTTTGTTGATCCAGTCCAAACAAAATACGGAACAGTGTACGAACGAAAAGCCATCGAAAAGCACGTCAAATCGTAAGTATTTCTTTTCCTGCTGCCTTCATGGGAACGGGAAGTCATCTCTAAAATTTTACCCTCATGGCGTTTACTGTGTAAACTCTGGAAAACAGACGCTCTCTTTCTTGGTGGGAAAGTGTTTTACCGTGAAGGTTTTGTTATCGCAGTGGTTACACATTTACAGGAGAGATATACTGCTTAGTCTCATTAGTCTCCCATTACGATTTTTTGTTCTTTACATGTCAGAGAGCTCATATGTGGGAGAGATTCTGAATCTGCAGAACGTTTTAAACATCAGCATAAAAGTTACAGTGTTTCCCATAAGTTTATTTATTTATGGTGCCCACCACAATATCAACGCTGACCGCCACACATTGATTTGAGGTTTTTTTTACTAGGCCTATTTAAAATCGTATTTGAGCTGCAGAATGCCTGAAAGCCTCACTAGATTATATTCTAATTATACATTTTTAGACATTTCCACCATAAATTGGTGCAGAGAAGGCAGAAATTGGAGGAGAAATTTTCACCAGAAAGATGGAAATGAAGTGTTAAATGCTCAAAATCTTCTGGGGGAGGACCCCAAATATCCCCCCAACTATTTAAGTGCCCCATCCAAGAAAACTGTATCCTGCTTCACACACAGTTTCTGGGAGGAACATTCACTTTTTGGTTAAATATAATAACTTTTCACATGTTTTTTTTTTTACCTTTTCCATGTTTTAAATAAACGTACTACAAGACTATTTAATAAATAGTAACAATAATAAATAAATAAATAATAAAAATAGCAAACATTTTTTTTGATGGGGGGCGGTAAGGGACCTGGATAATGGATAGGGGGGCGCTGGCCCAAAAAAGGTTGAGAACCACTGAGCTACATAATAGAGATTTGAACTACAATGAGAACACTGTTAAGATAATTAGGCTACAAATTTACTCAATGCGATGCAAACAAGCCTGACTTTGTCGCCGCCACGATATTAGATTTAGCCACTCCTCATATCCTGACACAATCAACGTGCATTCTTCTGGGGAAATACGGAGAATGCGCCCCTTTTATGCGAATACGCACCAACTCCATTTAAGTTAACACAAGGTCAACACCGACTAGTCTGTAAGGGTCCACTGATCAAAAGAATCAAAACAGCTTTTCATAAAAATTTATCCAAGTTGTGATGTCCATCGCTCTCTGTCTGCTAACTTCTGCCACACTTCTCTCGTCCTGCAACCTGTTGTTGGGTATGTTTGTTTTCGTTAAGTTGCTGCGCATAAGCCGTCTGTCGAGCTACATCAAATGAATAACTTGTATTTGATATTATTGGATAATTTTTAAACAATATTCTGTTTGAAATAAATAAAGTGTTTCATAGTAGTTTCAGTTTTATGCGAAAGGAAATAAAGGCCGGTCCCAAATATAGGCAGGGTCAATTTAAACTTTTCTCTGAGTTGCTTGGAGTGCTCCTTTGTCTCTGTAGTGGAGGTTTTACCGATATATGAAAAGGTGAACTTACTAGATACAGGTGTATTTATACTGCAATCACTTGAAAACCATTGACTACAGATGATCTCCATTTAAGTAATGAGATGACTTCTAAAACCAACTGGCTGCACCAATGATGATTCTATTTAAGGGGGTGAAAATGTATGCAAACAACTGTAGTTAATTTAGATTACTTTGTACATATGTATTTCACTTAAAATAAAACATGAACAATTGTGAACCATGTGGATACTTATACTTAATAAGCCTGACAGCTCAACTACCTTTAAAAGACAGTAAGCTTAAAATGTTTCTGTCATGCTTTTTTATTTATTTTTTTGTAACTAAAAATTGTTTTACAGAGACAAGCGTGATCCAAAGGGTGGCCCAGCAGACTTGCTCATCGAAGCTGATCTTAAACCAGCCAACGAAATGAAGAAAATGGTGAGGGATTACCGTTTGAGACAAATTCAGGAAAAGTTGTAGCAAAATGTTGGTGCTACAGATGTGGCTGTCGGTTTCACATACAGTAAATACAGTATGTCACCGGGAAAATATGGAAATCAGAAACAAAATGTCAGCCACCAAAAAGTCAGCTACCGAATGCAAGTTCATGTTATTAAATTATCATATTTTATAATCACAATCATGTTTGTTCATTGATAAATGTGCACCTGCATTCTTTGCGTTATAGACTAGAATAATATAGTATAACAAATTCATGTCACTTTGATTTTCTGTCTAGTCAGGTTTGACATTGAACATCAGTTGGACAGTTGCAATAAATGTAAGGTTCCGCAAGGGTAGAGACAAAAAAAAAGTCAAAAACAAGACAAAACAGGCCTGTATTTCTTAAAACAAAACCTTTTCTGTTTGTGCTTTTTATCTGTAACGCATACTTTTCTATGATACTGCTCATTGTACTGCCTGTACACCTTTCATGAGGGATATGGATACGTTTACAGCTAGAAGACCTGCAATGAAACCAAATTCCTTTTTTATTTTATGTCACTGTTAAAAGTTTTCTGCTTCTGTATTTGGCACAGTTGATTTTGGATAAAACCCTTATTTTGACATACACAGTGAGCTTCATTGTTGCTCAGACAGACGCATTGTTAAGTTTGAGTGTTTTTAGAATAAAATTGCTTATTATAAAATAAAAGTAGATGAGTCGTTAATCGAACACAATTAAGCAGTTCTTAATTTTTTTTTTTTTGAGACAAAGTCTGCAGGACTGGCAGAGCAGAGGTATGTTATCATGACACAGCAGTTTAACAGTAACCTGATCATGACATCAACATCTGTTTTTGGTAAATAAACTTTTAGAGAGCAGAATGCAAAATGTCATCTCTGCGTACACATCTTCACGTTTTGTTGTGCTAAAGCAAAAATAATTTAATGAGAGGCGAAATTGTTTAACAAACCGGCAATAATCAGACAGAAGATCTGCACACCAACAGCACCCAGCACTTTAAATTGAGCACTCAGGTGGTTGTGGTCTTCATGGAGTCAATCTACTGGCTAGCTGGACCAATTACAGAAGAGCTGTCTGATACTTAGAGTAAAAACAACTAGAACATCAAAATCCATATTATACATATTAAATCCAACAAGTCAGAAGTGAAGTTAAATATAGATCATAAATCATCCAGAAGAAAAACAATTGTCATGAAAAATACTATGTTAAAACTGTGATATTTTACTTGCTCAAAGGGTTTTCATTAGCAATAAAAGCAAGTTCAGCCTAAAGCTGGACTGAATTTGTTTTTGCTTTTTGGTCCAGCAGCTGTAGAGATATATTGTATGTGTGTACCCTCCACTTCAACAAACTTTTAGTGTCCAGATGTTTCACAGCTTGCATAACTGACTACCGCTAGGTGTGTTTTTTGTTGAGAGTAAATCTAAAGGTTGTATTATAGTAATTAATTTCATAAAAAGTAGAGTGTTTTTCAAAGCAGATTGTGTAAAGTGATTCACATAACGGGAAAAACAAGATAACACAAACAAAAACACATTTAAAACAGAAACACAGGGACTTGAGGTATGCACTGGGTATATTTTTATGAACCAGGATGTTTTATTGGGGACAACTGATAAAACATATTTGAATATTTGGATGGACTAAGACCAGCAGTCATTATTTAAGCAGTGTCGCTGATATCTTCCTCGTTCAGAATCACTGTCTCAGGATTATTCTCCTCACAGTCCCCTGTGTTTCCCATGTTCTGTCCTCCCTTGTCATGTCCTGCACACGTAAATATACGACACACAAGTTATTAGTCAGTGCTTTCCAAGGCTCCTGATCATTTCTGTTCTTTCACTCTGGTCAACACATCTTTTATATACATTTGTAGAAGTTAAAGCTGCAGCAGCTATGAGTAATGGGCAGCCTTCTATGGAGCACCGATCCTGACACATTCAGAAATAAATACAGAAATAAATAAATGCTCAATAAATAAATAAGCATCCAATTAAATACACAAAAAATAAAGTAAATAAATAAATGTAGGTAGTAATTAAATTATACAAGGAGACATAAATGTATATATTTTAATTAGTGCCTTTACTTATTCACCTTTGTAATAATTACCGTATTTATTAATTAAATCTAATTAATCACCAAAATAGAAAACTGTTGTTAAGCAGGTGTATTTAAATGTTCTTATGTCATACAAGTAGGGAGTGTTTTTGTGAGACAAGGACTTAAATTTTGATTGGTGTCATTAACAATTATTCAAATTAGAGAAGCAATTTTGATAAATCTATTACATGCATTTGCATTAGTTTGATACTTTCACTTGCAGTTTGCATTAACCCCTTGACGCCTACAGAGTAGCTACGCACCTAGACCCCATGCAGGACTATAAATCAAGCTTTATTCTGTACACATGGACAACTGACTATAGTTTTAAGACAGACTTCAAAAAATTTCATTCATCATTTTAAATAGGGAAAATGAAGAGAGGAGAAATGTGTGACTTACGCATCTTCAGTAATACAGCACCAACAATGGAAGTAACAATAATGCCAACAACAACAATGCCAACAATACCTGAAAGAATAGAGGAAAGCTGTCAAGATTTGTTCTTCCCTCGGGGCTTTCAAGAAAACCTCCATTTATTTTTCACACCTGATTCTCCTGGTCATGGTCACAAAGCAGACTTGGACAGACAGTACTGTAGACCATCCCGCCATAACACATAATGAACTCATTGTCAACTAAGACCACACTGATAAAACGGACCTCAACCTCCCAGCAGAAGGTGATTTAACACCTGACTACTTAGAGATTCATTTTTCTTGTAGAACGAATGACACAGGTATGATATCTGCATGTACATATTACAGGGGACAAATATAAAATTCGGGCCCACAGGAAAAATAGATGTGGTTTTGACAGCTGATGGAGATACAAATAAATAGAAGTCGAGATATTTACTTACTGTCATTATCAGTCTGACTTCTTCTAACGGGTCCCGGCTTTTTCTCTGGTAAAAAATGTTAAATTGTAATTGTGTTCATTGTGTTTAAGTGCTAAAATAGTTTTAGCTTGTTACAAATATTCATTTTAATGTGTGTTAGGTTAGCTGTACTCACCAACATTGAGGGTAATGTTGCCTTTCTTGACCTGACTGTGCAGTTTGGGAACATAACAGTTGAAAATTCCTGCATCCTGTTCAGTGACGTTGGTCAGTTTCAATGAAATGTTTCCTTTGGTCATTTCATCAGGGAAGAGAGATGTTCTACCCTTGAATTTCTGATCCTGATCTACAAGATCGTCTTTCTTATTTCTGTAGATGTGCGCAATAGTTTTATTATATGTCCACTCCACCGTTAGAGTCTTCACATCGAATGGGGTCTCCAGGTGGCATGGCAGAATGACATCATCACCGACTACTACTGTAACTGGTTCATGTGAGCCAATCACATCAGACTCTCCTGTGGAAGCAAACATCGCTTTTAGACTTCATGTTGCAGCATCATTATCGACTTCAGCCAATGCTGAGTCCTGCCTTTTCCAAACAAAAGTCTGACTCACCAACAATGAGTTGGATAGAAGCTTCCTTCTGTATAAAAGGGAGGAAACATTTGTATTTTCCTGCATCAGAAGTTTTCACGCTGAAGATTTTCAAGGAGACGTTTCCTTTTGTCAGTTCATCCATAAACAGTATTGTACGATCATTATAGGACGGATTTTGATACATCAGTCGTCCATCTTGGTGAATATGGATGTGCTCTGGGTCCAAACCAGGTTTGGTCCACTCCACTGTCTCAGAACTGGCACTGACTGCAGGTTCAAGGTGACATGGCAAAATGACATCATCACCAGCCAGGGCTACGATTGGTTGATGTGAACAAATCAATGCTGACAGAGCTGCAAAGAAAACAAAAGATCAAAAAATATAGTTACAATCCATGAAGTGTTTGTGTTAGGAGTGTGGTTTTGTGTTCATGTCTTTCCTGTTTTAGTCTGTTTTTGGTTCTGTGTTTCTCTGTGTAGCCTTGTTGATTATTTTATTCATTCACATGTCCTAGTTTACTTGGTATCTGTTTTCACAGGTTTGGTTTTGGATTCTGTGTTTATATAGCTCAATTCGATCTTGTCATGTTTAGGGTGTTGTAGCTGAGTTTAGTCCTTTGTTTTTTTTGTTTATATTCTGTTTTTTCCTGGTTATTAGTTTCCCTATGGCCTTATTGGTGTCTGTCTGTTTCCCTTGCTGTCTCTCTTGCCTGCCTGTGTCTCATTAGTCCTGATCCGGCTCACCTGAGTTCCTCCCACCCCTCTCGTTAGTCCCTGTGTATAAATGCCTGCTTGTGTCTTCAGTCTTGGTCACATCCTCGTGTCGTCTATGTTGAGTGGTCAGCCTTGTGCTCTGTTTTCCCTGTTCCCTGAAATGTTCCCAGGCTTTTGGATTGCTTTGTGTTTGTTGGATTTACCCTTGTGCTTCCACTTAAGCTTGTTTCAGTTTGTTTTTTTGAGTTAATAAATCCTTTTGAACTGCATCCTCTCCTTTTGGTCTGCATTTGGGTCCACACCTCAGTCTGCACTCAGCCATGCACTCAGCTAACCCATGACAGTTGGGTTCTCTCACATTAACTTATATTGATTTAGTTACTTATATCACTGTCCAACCTACTCACACTGTGTTACACAGGGACATTTGGGAGGGAAAAGGACCCTTCTCATTATTATTTATTACATTTTTTTAAAAACAAAATGTTAAATATATTACTCCCTTACCAATTACTACCAATTTATTTCAACTCACTCACACCCATGCAGTTGTTGAACTTTTGTGTGTGGGTGGCACAAGACCCACCCACTTTTACATCATGTATGTTGCAGGATTGAATTACAGTTAAAGGTACACTACAGTAATTAAAAGGCACCAGAATAGTGAAAAAGGCATCTACTCCAGTGCAATTTTTTTCTGGGGGAAGACCCACCAAAATTTTTTGGATTACATATAATGTACATAACTACAGAATGTTTTCAATGTTGTATAAAGACCTTACATGATGAAACTTTATGCTTTTATTACCTTAGAATGAGACATTTCTATCTACATACACCGTGGGTCCACTTACATGGACGTTGCCATGTTGCGCCACCATCTTTCTGCAGTGGCCTATATGGACAAACCATTCTACAGAGTTTTTCGCTATGTTGAATATTTAAGAAGTGAAATTTGGCCAAATGGAGGACCACACTTACTATTTAGCACAAGAGCCAACAGAGCGTGTCGGCCACCGTAGGTTCTCCTACACACTTGCAAAGGGAGGAGTGAGTGAGCCATTGGCTGCAATTCGCAATCCTCACCACTAGATGCCACTAAAACCTACACACTGAACCTTTAAGCCTACTACCCTCCGTCTGTTTGTTTTTGTTCTAAATGAACCAAATATTGGTTAATTAGCTGTAAAATTTAGGCACTGGTAGTTTAGTCTTTTGTTCATCACCACTCACCTCCACACAAGCCAAGATAAACACTCTTGGGACAGGAGCTGGGATAGCTGCTGCCTGTCTGTCTGTGTCTCTGATGTGTGCTGCACTGCTGTGCGGAGACACGTAGGGAGAGAGGCCGTCGTAACTCGACAAACTCTCATCTCCCAGCCTGATTGTTTGATTTATTATCCAATAAATATATTTGCTATGTGCAA